TCTCACTGCTTTGTGGGTTCAAGCCCCACATTGGGCTCTGTACTGGCAGTGTGGAGCCCACTTGGGATTTTCTCTCTCCCTTTTTAGGTGCCCTTCCACCACTCATGCTGTCTCCGTCTCTCTCAAAATAAATAAACTTAAAAAAAAAATTTTTTTTTAACTAAGATTCATTATTCACTTGGAGAACAAGTGAAATCAGGAATTGGATCCATTAATCCAGATGAATGTTAATAAGAAACACATGAAGTCCTTGTTAATAGTTTAAATTTTAAGCATCCCCTCCACCCACCCAACCACTAGTGCATATTCAGGACCAGGTTTCTTGCTATTTTTCTCCCTGTCTCCCTGCTGCAAGAGGACAAGAAGCTACCTTGGGGAAACAGATGTTAAGATCTTTGCCATTTGTATAGACAGGAAAACCCTTGAAAATATCTCTTGGTCTAAACTCCATCACTTACAGTTGCACTGAAGGCTTACAGTGGAGTGATGCTGAGGAAAACAAATGTGCTAATGAACCACCAAGGCAAAGAAAGATCTTTTTACAAAGCCATGTAAACATAGGACTCTGTGACAGATACCAGCTGTGCGACACTTATACATCCACTGGAATACACATTAAGCAGCAAATGAAAATGAACTTTTTTGTAAAGACTAGATTATTCTAGGAGTTCCCTTCAACTAAATATTTCTAAGTACTTTATCTGGGGCAAGACATTGGACCTGAAGCTGAGCTAGAAGAAAATACTGAACCAGAAAAACATTTTGCATGAGGAAAGCCAATTCCCAGAGGCACCAGGTTTTGAACCTCTACCTTTGATAATCAGAGACCCCGTAAGGTGCTGACATCCAACTTCTCCCACCATTCCAAGAGAATAGAGAAAACTCAACACAGACATCTGGAGAAAAGAAAAACAGGGGAATGAGGGACGCCTGGGTTGGCTCAGTCAGTTGAGGGTATGCTCTTGATTTCAGTTCAGGTCATGATCCCAGGGTCAGGGAATTGAGCCCCATGTCAGGTTCCATGCTGAGCATGGAGCCTGCTTGAGATTCTCCCTCTCTCTGCCCTTCTCCCCCGTTCATGCACATGCTCTCTCGCTCTCTTGCTCTTTCTCTCTAAAAGAAAAAGAAAAAAACAAACAGGGGAAACAAAAACCAATCAAAAATGTTTCACAACATGCCATGAGCTCCTAATGTGTTAGAAATGGAAAGCACTGTTTTCTCTCTACCTTTTTAAAGACAAAATCATGGTGCTACTCCCCAAGAGCCAAAGTCTCCTTATTCTCAGACTACTACCCCACAAGTCAACGTTCAAAGGTCAGTATCAAGGAGGAGATAATGCCCCAATTTAATGTAGCAAAGCTACATCTCTAATTCCCCCACTCCCTATACCATTCTTCCCACCTTTGTAAAGATTTCATTATCTTCCCAGGCTTTACCTATTCCATCTTCAACCTGCCTCACACATCAAGTAAGTCACCAAGTCCTATAAATTCCACTGTTACAAATCTGACCATTTAATACTCCTGTGTAGGTCAACTGATCCAAACAGTTCAAATCCTCATTAATCCTTTCTGTAAAGTTCTAACACAGACCTAGTTGGTCTTCACCATCTAATAGGCCATCTCTTCTTCATGCTGCTAAAACAACATTCCTAAAAATCAAAGGTTTAATGAATGCTCCCCAGTAAAAACTTCCGTCAATTCCATGCTGCCTATAAAACAAATTCTAAACTCCTTCCTAACCTGATTCCAGGCCACCGCTCCAGTCTCACTCTGGTCATCCCCCTAATGTGTCCAATTCTACATCAAACAAGATAGTTCACCATTCTCTAGCATATGCCATACTTGCCCTTCTACTTTGCCATTACTCATGCTATTCTAATTGTTCTCTCATCTCTAGTCAACAGTATTACCAATCAACTTCTTTCCTTAAAGTACAAACTAAGAGAGAAAGCAACCCATTACAGGTAGGGAATGATATGAATCTATAGTCTCAGAAGCAACATGGATTTGAAAAAGGAGTACCACTTTGGAAACCAAAGGCCCAGCTCTGCCACTTTCTTGTAAAGTTATACTGAGTAAGCCATTTGCCTTTCTGGGCCTCAGTTTCCTCATCCCTAAAATGTATCTGCTCTGCCTAACAGATAGGATTATCAAGATAAAGTAGGATAAAGTATGTCAAAATGTTTGTGAGGGGATGGACTAAAGTAGTACTTAGAGGGAAATTTATAATTTTGATTGTTTTTATTAGGAAAAAACGGTAAGCACATTCTTAAGAAGTTTGAAAGTACTGCTAGAAGTAGAAGGAAGATTATTATAGGTAGAAATTACAAAGAAAACATACACAAATCAAGAGAATCAACAAAGCCAAAAGACAGTTCTTTGAAAAGGTTAGTACGATTGTTCAGATGTTTGTGTAAACGATGAAGAAGCACTATAAAAGTGAGTTATTGTTATCCAATAGAGATGAAACTTCAAATAAAAAAAGCTGAAGTAATAATTTCTTTTTTGAAAGTGTTTCTCAATCTCAGCACTATTGATATTTGGCCACAATAACTGTGTGTAGGACGGAGCTGTCCTGTGCAATGTAGGATGTTTAGCAGCATCCCTGGTCTCTGCCCACAAGATGCCAGTAGCATTCCTCCCCCACCTCCCAGAAGTCGTGACAATCAAAACTGTTTTCAGACGTTGTAAATTGTCCCCTGGGAGGTAAAATCATCCCAGGTTGAGAAAGACTGCTCCAAGTCCACAAAAGGCCACATCACACTATACCAGCTAAGACTATTCATAGCTATTCCTAATTTTAGAATAGCGGGCCGCTCTACCCATTAAGGTTGTGAGATGACCAGCAAGCCAAGGCAGGAAAGGCAAGACTGAACAGACAGGCAGGTCTCAGATGTTTCAACAAAATTTCATAGTGTTCAAAATGAGAGAACCAGGAAAACTGTGAGCTCTAAAACAGGGGCAGAATTGCCACAAGTAACACAAGTATCACTTCCATTTGGGAGTGCCTGGGTGAGCACAGCTCTAACACTACAGTGAAACATCAAAAGGATACTTAATCAAATTCCAAGAAGTTAGATAACCCTGGCAAGGCAAGAGGAAAAGTACCCACCAAACACTTTAACACTCGGAACTTTAAAGGCAATAAAAATAAGTCATTTCAAATTTTTAAAAAATTGTTTCATCTGAGAGTTGTATAAATAGTAAAAACAAACAAACAAACAAAAAACCCTCCAGTTACACAGCTGTGACAAATCACAATTAAATTCTCATCACTTCTAGGGGCACCTGGGTGGTTCAGTTGGTTAAGCACCCGACTTCAGCTCGGGTCATGATCTTGCGGTTTCTGAGTTTGAGCCCTGCATCAGGCTCTGTACTGTCAGCTCAGAGCCTGGAGCATGCTTTGGATTCTGTGTCTCCCTCTCTCTGCCCCTACTTTGCTCTCACTGTCTGTCTGTCTGTCTGTCTGTCTGTCTCTCTCTCTCTCTCTCTCAAATAAACATTAAAAACAATTTTTTAATAAACATTAAAAAATAATTTTAAAAAATCTTGCCGCTTCTAAATAAATAATAAAGTGCACAGAAGGATATGTTTTGTTTTGTCTTAATAATTAAGAACCGAACAAGGAAACCAGAATTCCAAGAAGCCAAGAGGGAAAACTGTGTGTATATATCCATTATACCCACCAGCAACATCTAAAATCCAATCTAAACCTGACATGAATCTAGGGGGTAGCTGAAATATAATTCTGAGAACCCAAATGATAAAAAGCAAAAAGTGATGCAGATACCAGGGGCACTCTAATGCCATCTTAAGAACCATGAGACCAAAGCAAGACAGTATGATGGTATACCGTGCCAGCACACACTATCTTCCATTATTTCTACTTATTCTACTTTATATAGAAAGGAGCTACAGTACCATCTTGGGAGACTCCAATTGAATTACAGTGGACAGCAAATGATATCAGGAAAAATAAATAAATAAAATGGTAATTTCCCTGCCAGAGGTGAAGTGGAAATAGGGCAGAGACTACCTAAACAGTATAAATGAGGAAAAACTGATCCCTGAGCCACGTGACAACTGTCAGGATGAATGAGAACTGAAGACAGTACCAGCAGCAAAGAAACAGAATTGATGTTCATTCTCCTAGAATCTGGAGAAGAATAGTAGCACATTTTCCTAGTTCTACTAGTGTGGTCTGTTATAAACAACAGACAAAAACTTTATTCCTCAGTTTACAGGAAGCTTGCAAACAACTCCATCCTATGCCATGCAAGGCTGGAATGAACTGAGAAGCTCTATGGCTAGCCAGATGATCTCACAGTGGACTAGAGAAGAAAAAGTCAATGCCACTTCAACAAGTTGGGAGCAAAGGAAGGGTTGAGCCAAATAGGACTCCAGAGGGGGTCTACCAGCTATGAAGGTGCAGTTCTCTCCCATCAGAAGCAATCTATAGTCACTAGAAATGGTTGGGAGGCAGAGCAGCACCACAGGAGATGCAATAAGCTTTCCGGAGTTGTGTACCTTTCATCTGAGAATCTCTCCCTAGGTAATCCCCTCATGTCCATACAAGCAGAATTGTGCATATAATTTCAGGAAACTCACGGTTACCCCCACACCTGCCTGTAGCCATCTGATGAATCCATGACCCCCAGACCACAAAGTCTTGCCACAAGGACTCTGCTACTGATTTCTCCATGACTCGGGCAAGTATGCTCTACTCTCAAATCTTTGAATCTGAATCCACATGTCTGTCAAAGATGAGTTAAATGCTAAAGGTTCTTCCAGCACTAAAGTGAGGCCTAGATAGAGGAACAACAATTCACTTCCTGAGAAAGAGCATATGAGTTAATTGTTGCTATGCAACCAGTGTCTGCCTTCTCACAATAGATGACCTAAGAAATCCAACTGGAAATACCATGCTCTTCCAGCAAAAAATCCACTAGAAGAAAAGAAAAGAAAAGACAACCCATGTCACTCAGTAGAGCCACTCACCATCCAGTAGGTCTTCCGCGTCATCCCTGCCGTGCTCCTCCACTGCCACTTCCTCCTCCTCCTCCTCCTCTTCCGCATCCTCCAGCTCCACGTCCGGGTCCAGGTCTGGATCGCTCCCTGAGGCGGATTCGTCTGACATGGCTCCCAGAGGTCCTCAGTGGGCATTACCGACTCATGGTACACTGCAGGGGTCCTGAAAGAAAGAAAAGAGGCATCAGAATCACCAAGGGCTTCACTTAGGAACAGGATTCTTTCAAAGAGAAAATGCCAAGGATGAATGCCTGGAAGGGCAAACTAACCATACCCGAATCTCCACCTTCCTCACAAGTGCACTAACCCTGAGAAGCTCAAGTTTCTCTTAGCTGCTTGGACATGAAAATATCTTAAATGACCAAACACACTCTATGCCTCAGAATTACCATTTGTTCATTCCTTCAACTTCCTGAGCATCAACTCTCTATATTTCTGTTTATCCATACATATACAAATACACATTATAGATATATAATCACAGGCACTATACTAGGCTTTGGGGACACAGTAGGAAACATGTTGGGCAGTGCTAAGAAGCTGGTGCATGCCAGAAAGAGATCAGGGAGAAGTTCTCATTGAACAGAGGCCAGAAGAAGAGGGAGACACACAGACATCTGGGGAGAGTGTGTTCTATGGAGAGTGAGCAGCAAGGGCAGAGCCCAGGAGTGAGAGTAACTGGGAGTACTCAAGGAACAGGGAGTGAGTGGGTACTGCCTAGAGCAGGGCCAGGTCCTGCCTTGGAGCACTACCCAGAAGGCAGTCCACTCTCTAACCACCTGAATAGAAGGCTTCCAGCAGGCAGCTGGCTGTTTAGCACACTCCCACTCCTCCCAAGTGTGTGGGGAACCTCAGGCTCCCCATGGGCCAGAATGCCCCTGCGCCCATCTCTGCTCTCAGGTTCTGTCCTACCTCTTAGCCCAATTCCAGCTCCATTTCTTCCAAGAAGTCTTGGTCAACTGCCCCAGTCTTCTGGGATCATATTCCTGCTTCTGAACTCCAATAGCCATGCTTGACTATGCTGACCTTCACTGAAGCCTTCACATGGGTTACCTGGCAAAGTGGTTTGCCTTCTGCGGTTTCTTACCTTCAGACCAAACAGTAAATCCCTAAGGGCAGGTATTTAGCTGAGAACTGTTTCTTTGTGGCCTGGAGCTGGAAGCACGTCCTATTTAGATCAATTCATTCATTCACGTTCGCTCCCTCATTTGCCAACTTGCTCTATTAACTCTTCTATGTGCCAGGCACTGTGCATGTCTGTCTGTCTCACTCTTTTGCTCTCACTTGGTCTACTTTACTATCAGCTATAAAAGTCATTTCTTCTTGAGGGGGACAAAAACAAGGTAAAGACTGCTCTGAGATAAAGCAAATATAGCAAAATGTTAACATAAAGATTCACTGACCAATTCTTTCCATTTTTCTGTATATTTCAAATTTTTCATAATAAAATGTGGAGGAAAACACAAAATAAATAATCTTTTATACGACAAACTGCTACAGACAACCACATCCACAATCAGGTTATCCTAAAATTCCTCCCATCTCCCAAAATAAAAACTAAAATACAAGTCTCTAATTATTCAACACAAAAACTATTGCAGAACTGAAATCTCTTATTAAGGTCCAGACACAATTTGAAACAGAATTTTTATGTCCTCCTGAAACAAAATGAAGTAAACTGGATCCTTTAGAGTTCTAGAAAGCTAGAATTTAAGTTCAAGACTGTTTAGTTAAAAGCCACAGGAATTATGAGTGTGTATGTGTCCTGGTGGGTCATGCACTTAGCCTCTCAAGACAATGAAACCAAAAAAAAAATCTATGAAATGATTTAGTAATAAAATTAAAATTTCTGCATTAATAACGCACTTCCAAAACACGCACAAAGTGTATTAAGGCACAGGGAAAAAAGGCGTTCCACAAATACAAATTAATATAACTAATGCTGAGTCACCATTCACTGAGTGACAAATTCCAAATTTCTCAGGGAATAACTATCCTATATCTTTAAGTTCATTAGGTTTTGAAAGGAAGTAGTAAATCAATTAGATGTCAGCAGCTTTGGAAATGAAAATTATTCTGAAGATGAGTAATGATGATAACTCAACAGCAGCTACTCTGTATGTGGAAGTCAATGTTTATAATCAGCATAACCCCTCTGGTTCATCCTAGACTGCTTGAGATAAGTGTTTTGCTTACAGTGTGTTTGGTTGATTATGGAGTGGCTTTTAGAAGACAATTTTTAATTAGCAAGTACCTTAATGTAATCTGAATGTCTGTCATTTCAGAGAAGAAATTGTGTGGTTGTGGAAGAATGACAATCACTTAGAGGTAAACAATAATAATGAGAAGCCTCCTGTAAACCTAGTTAACAAACATCTTCAAAATAACCTCAGTCCCAAGCTCCTAATAGATAGAAGCAAATATCAATTAAACATCAACAACCAGGGGCGCCTGGGTGGCTCAGTCAGTCAAGCACACGACTTCAGCTCAGGTCATGATCTCACAGTTTGTGAGTTTGAGCCCTGCATCGGGCTCTGTGCTGACACCTCAAAGCCTTTGGATTCTGTATCTCCCTCCCTCCCTCTCTGTCCCTACCCCACTCAAGCTCTGTCTCTCTCTCTCTCTTAAAAATAAAAAAACACTTAAAAAAAAAAATCAACAACCACACATACTACTAGAATTTGAGACATTGGTCCAGGCCCCTACTCAAAACATTTTAAGTACAGGACATTTTAAAATAGTACCCAGGCCAGGGGTACCTGGGTGGCTCAGTCAGTTAAGTGTCTGACCTCAGCTCAGGTCATGATCTTGCGGTTTGTGGGTTCAAGCCCCACATTAGGCTCTGTGCTGATAGCTCAGAGCATGGAGCCTACTTCAGATTCTGTGTCTCCCTCTCTCTCTCTGCCCCTCCCCTGCTCGCGCTCTGTCTCTGTCTCTCAAAAATAAATAAATGTTAAAATAAAAAAATAAAATTATTTAAAAATAAAATAGTACCCAGGCCATCAGATGCCCATAACAGAATAAAGTGGAGAGTGATCGATTTCTTAAATCCCACCAAATTTGGTTATTCTCTTTCCCTACCTTGCAAGAGCCACTAAAATTTCTTTACAGAGATGACACAAATGAATTTTCTCCACTCTTCAAAATCATACCAACGACTCAAAGGGCAGGTTTTGCTGTTACTGATCTCCTTCAAAAAAGCAACAGGGATGCCCAGGTGGCTCAGTTGGTTAAGTGTCTGACCCTTGATCTCAGCTCAGGTCATGATCTCACGGTTCAGCCTCTGGGCTTACAGCATGGAGCCTGCTTAGGACTCTCTCTCTCCCTTTCTCTCTGCCCCTCCCCTGCTTATGCACATGCATGCGCGCTCTCTCAAAATAAATAAACATCAAAAACCAAAAACAAAAAAAAGCAACAAAGGGAAAATGTCAGAGGAATAGTTAACCTTGGGGGGCAGCAGCACAGTCAATTACATTCTGTCTGTAAGGGTATCCACATATACAAACACTTCCATGTGGGCACAGCCTTTCAAACACAGACAGCCTGATTCAAGAAATCAGCTCTCAGTAGAACTGTTAGAGGTGAGGAAAAAGGAGATAAGGAAAAAATGTATCTCCCTCATTTGCTCCTCAGCCCATGTGAAACACTGCCTCAACCTCCAGGGAAGAGAGCGCTAGGAGAGTGATTATGGGTGTGCTACACCTTAATGAGGACCTGTATTCCTACAAAGCAAATTCTGGGAATCAAATTCTATCTTAATGAAACTAGAGAACTAGCTATTTAAAGAAACTCTAAAAAGAATCACTCTGAAAAGTAAATATCCAATCCCTAAGTAATATGTTAAGGTCTACAGTTTAATATATTGTGTTTGCTAAAAGAGACTATATATAGTTATGAAGAAACCCACAGCCAATCCCAGGCCAGCCCCTTACAGCCTTGAGAGTAAAGGAAAATTTGGTTCCTCTGCCCTGCTAAGTTCAAAAACAACGTCACCTGTCTATAGAGTGGTGCCTGGCTAAGAATCAGTGAAATTAATCATGCGGACACAGCCCTAAGACACACCCCTGGGGAGGAGAATACACAGGAGAGAAAAACACAAAGACACACACACATACTAGCAAAGCCTTTGTTCACAAAGCAGACCATGCTTGGAGAGTGCACACTAAAATCATAGAACTGTGGGCACATACTGCCTCACCACTGTGGGGCAGCCCATGCAATTTCAGAGGTCCTCGGCAGCATCCTGATGCTATGTTTGATATAAAAGAAACCATTCCAAACTGCCATGTCCTCATTAATTTTGGTAACCTTGAGTTGTATTAAATTTCCTCAAATTATCTCAAAGCAATTCCACAGTGAGTGCTATGTACACTTCTTTTTCCATTAAGAGTATAAACAAAACCATGCATTTATGCTAATTTGCAAGGGGTATGAAGTCTTAAAAGCATGAAAACATTCAGTCTAAAACTTTAGGCAACACTTCAAAGAAACACATTAGTCAAGCAATTTATATAATTCAAAGACTTTTTAAAAAAAGAGTTCAGTCCATTTCCAGTACTCACAGGGTATCAACAAGATTCTTCCAGTCTGCTGAGAGATCAACTGTGGATCTCTGAAATTATTTCAAAACACCTTTCCTGGGCAAGACAAAAGCCCAATGCATACATGTAGTCCAAATGCCTTTTAATAACCTTTCAGTCACTTAAGAACACATTTAATACACACAAAGCAGGTACAGAGCTAGAAAGTGACACAGCTTGAAATATTTTATTAATGAGACTTTTGGCAATGTGGAGCTTAATTAAGACAAAATAAGGAAAAGAAGGTGAACAAAACATTCAGGGCTCTAAGGAGGAAAGCCACAGGAGACAACTCTCCCCAAAAGGCAATGCAGTGGGGCCAGGCCCAGGGACTCAGCACAAAGCACAACAGAGGCACTGGAGCCATGTTTACAGAATCAGTCAAGAAATCTTAATTCCAGGGATGCCTAGGTGGCTCAGTGGTTAAGCGTCTGATTCTTGGGTTTCGGCTCAGGTCATGATCTCATGGTGTGTGGGTTTGAGCCCCATATCAGGTTCTGTGCTGACAGTGCAAAGCCTGCTTGGGATTCTCTCTCTCCCTCTCTCTCTGCCCCTCCCCCTCTCAAGCTGTCTCTGTCTCTCT